AACATAAGTCTGTGATAACATCACTTCAAAAATAGCCATTTTGTTTCAACACATCTGGTGTCTTGTCAAGTGATGGTGTTGATTGATTGATAAAGCGATTTAAAGAGTTCAAAACCAAGCACTACCTCCACTAGAGGGAATAGTTTTACATAAGATATAATTTCCAATCAAATTACAAGTATATGATAATTCAAATAACACGACAACTGGCCCTAGATACAATTTATTAGTGCTTTAAAATTAATATTAGATTATATAGGAAATGAAGATAACTGATTAATTACCAAATTATGTAATTAAAAAAATAAAAGTTACGAATATTAAGCTCAAAACCATTCATCAAGTTTAGAAATTTACAAATTTATTCAAAGAGAAAAAAAAAAAACGAAAAATATGCCTAAATTTTCATGTATTTATCCTTATTAATATGTTAAGTTTTGCGTCCGAATTTGACCGGAAGTAAGAGGTATAAAATATGGCTATAAAATTGGTTACATTGACAGGGTTTTGATTAGAGATTTAGTGGAGTAGGGGAAATGTTTATTGCTGACAAGATAGACAGACATTTCGTCATAATACACCAATACGTAAATATGATTGAATATATGGACACGCAAATATACGAACGACAAATAAAAAGACTCATCAAGATTCAATCACCCAAATAACTACAGAGACAACGCAAGCTACCGGTAAAAATTACACAAACATGGAAAATAAATATACAAATATAAAAACATACGCACACATGCGCGCGCGCGCACACACACACACACACACACACACATGTGTGTGTGTGTGTATAAAGACACCCCTATATACAGATATATATACGCATACATATATAAAGATACATATTTATAAATGTAAAAGACAATAGGAAAACTGTAATAGTTGTCGACGCGTTTCGTCCGACGTGGACTTTTTCAAGGCGAAATGAAATGAATTTATTAAACAAAGTAACTAATAATAACAAAGCATAATGTTCTTAGTATCTGGAAGAATTTAGGGGACGCTATTTTCATACTGTTAAAAATGCTACACTCAAAAAAGAAAATAACTCACTCAGAAGGAAAATCCTCGAGAGTGCCGCCATTGAATATTACCCAAATATTAATCTACACCCAGGCCTTTTTTCCCTATTTCACCTTTCTTAAAAGAATTACTACTCTCCCAAACAAACGTACAGAACAGTATCAAGAAATCAAAAGAAAATGGTTGAATCCGTCAACACAGCAATAAAAACAATATCTCCACACGTGATAGTAATTGACGTAATTTTCAGTTAACAGTATGAAAATAGCTTCTCTGAATTCTCTCAGTTGCTAAGGACATTTTGTTTGTGTTAATATTAGTTACTTTAATAAATTAATTTCGTTTTTTGCCTTGAGAAAGTCGGCAACCATTACAGTTTTCCTATTGTCATTTATATTTATAAATATTGTCTTTTTCTATAGGTTAACTCTGAGAATTTTTTCAAAAATACATATATAAACATACATATGCAAAAGATAAAAATGCACACACACACACACACACATATATATATATATAATCCTTTCATCAAGTAAATAAAGAAATATGAAATAGAAAGGCCTATGTTAGGCTATAAAAACAATGTAAAAATATATATACATACACATTATTTCATTATTATAATATTATCATAACATTATTATTATTCATATCCAAGTATCAATTTATCAGTTAAATTCGATGTTTAGGAGAGGAGTTATAATAATGAAATATGTGCATTTGTACGCATTCGTGTGATGAAAATACAATAAAAGAACGGAGTTCAGGAAAATAGAAGATGGCGATTGGCATTGCATTTAATTTTTTGAAAATGGCAAGAATTCGGAAGGGAGTTCTATATGGAGAAGTGATATATTTTTTAATAATTTAAAATTATTTTTTGCATGCGTCAATAAAGTTCGTTGCATGGATAAAAGACCTATATTTCTTCATGCAGAAAATGAAAATCAAAACAACTCCAGTGTTCCATTTTTGACATTAAAAGTAAACTAGTATGTTTATTTAGTATATGTATATATTATGTAGTCGTGAGGCGAGGTTATTGATAAATTATACACAAAATAATACGTCTCAATTTATACTTTGTATGAATCAATCTCAAAGAAGTGCTGCTTCAATTTGAGACATCTTACCGTTTTGTTTGTATGCATTCCCCCCGGCTTCAAAGTTTACTTTCCCCGTAGCCGGCGATCACGTTGCCAGAGAAAGACATCCCTTTCTTTCGGGTGAACACCAGGCCAGCGGGATTTAACGTTCAACCGAAGCGGAGCAAATTAAATTTCATCTCTGATATGTGGCCAATGGGCTGGAAGATTTTCTACCGCTGTAAACAAGCGTCACGTGGTTTATCGTTGGCGGGATTTTGGAGAGCACTTGGCGCACTCTCATACATTGACTCTGCTGCCTCACAGAACATCAAGTTGCATTACTACCCCCCTTCTTCGGCGACTGTATGTCTATTATTATTATTATTATTATTATTATTATATACGGGTGTGCAGGAGGTGTAATGACTAAGGGCTTGGAATGCGAAATCGACGAACTGTGTTCAAATCCCAACCGAGTTCATTGTATTTACATTCGCGCCAATACTTACCGTGAAAGTTATATACCCATCCACTCTAACACCAGTAGGCTAGTTTGGTTTGGTTTGTTTTGTTTTACGGTATATCAACCTCAATGGGTTATTTAATGCCAACAAGATTTTTATTGCTGGTAATATTTTTTTTTTTCAAAAATGTATTGCTGTTATTTTTTTTTTCAAAAATGTATGGCTGGTATTAAAACGTATTTTACAATTTTATAGAGTTTTGACCCCAGTTTGGGTTTAACTATTTGCTCCAGGCTGGGATGATAACAGGTGCTACCACCCAGGGTCAGAGGTGGGCATAGGAACACCATGATTTCTCTCGAAATTGTTTCGTTTCTTTTGTTTTACGGTATATCAACCTCAATGGGTTATTTAATGCCGACAAGATTTTTATTGCTGGTAATATTTTTTTTTCAAAAATGTATTGCTTATATTATTTTTTCAAAAATGTATGGCTGGTATTAAAACCTATTTTACACTTTCATAGATTTTTGACACCAGTTTGGGTTTAACTATTTGCTCCAGGCTGGGACCATAACAGGTGCTACCACCCAGGGTCAGAGGTGGGCCTAGCAACACCATGATTTCTCTCGAACGCTCATATCCGCTCGTAATATATCTTAACGTAAACACGCTCCTCAAATCCTCCTGATAAGTAGCCTTGCTGCCAGCTGTAGTTTATCGTCTTACCAAGGACGCGGATGTAGTTCATCGTCTTACGCAGGACGGTAATGTTTGCATCAATGAAACTACAAATTCGCAAGAAGGAGAGGAAGAACTGAAAGTCTAATTAAATTTAATTTAGTTTCTTTTTTAGTTTCTTTGCCTTTTCGTTTATATTTCCATCCATTTTGTTATTAACATGTCGGCATGGTGAGAGATCTGCCAAGAAAGGTGAAATGCTGCAAGTAAATTTTTTACGGATGATGTTGGGATTAAAGCAATTTCTTGCTGTCGGTTGTAGCTTATCGACTTACTCAGGACGCGGATATCGTTTATCGTTATACCCAGGATGATAGGCTATGTTCTTCAGCCTTGGTTAGCAAGCGGTCTAGGAGAAAGACAACTCTGATTTTCAAAGCCGATTGTGCATGCTGTTAGCAACTACATTCCCTAAAAGGTTACTGAGTATCGAAACCACAACAGCAACGACTAATACGTTGGAAATTTTGGTCCCATACTCCTTAATACCGAGCAACAGGATCAAGTGATTCGGACACCTCACTCGTATGCCTATCAACCAACCAGCCGTACGAGCATACACCCTCAGGTACTCTGGCTGGAGATCGAGAGGCAGACCAAGAAGATGCTGGTACGACTCAGTGGCAGACATTCTAAGAGCCCACGAGATATATCTCCTTCAGGTTACTCGCCTTACCAAGGACAGACGACTGTGTCTCTCCGCGACGCCTAACATAACAAGCGTGAGAAAAATAAACTAAACACCTCAGTAGAATATAGGGGACTTGAGCAAGTGATTGTAATGTACTGGTTAAATATGCCCACTAGAAGTGCCTGGTAGGTTAAAATGTAGATAATGTGACAGCAAGTCTTTTCAATACCTCATACATAATTCTCCCTCTCTATTGTATATATAAATAAATGCGAGGTTAAAAGGTCACAACTCTAACGCTAAAAGCTCAATATCTTCTAGGTGATATTAATTTTCAGGTTTAAATAATGTTATGGTAATTTACCCACGCACGCATGGACTCTCCCAGGTATAAATAGGAGCAGGTACTGCCTTTTGTAGAGGAAAGTTTCCAGCAGTCAGCTTTGAGAGTTGGGCCGAACATTCTTGCTGAAACACACTCGTTTGTATATTTTTGTATTACTGTTTCTTTTAATATATTTTTTTAACACAATTCCTATCTTTCTGTCTTTATTTCTGGCTCTAACAGATAGATCGATAGATAGATAGATAGATAGATAGATAGATAGATAGATAGTGTTATCGTAGTTTACCATGGACACTACAGCATGGACAATACCAGTACTGCCTTTAAATAGGAAAGCAGGTAGCTTTGACAGTTGCTGAACATTTTGCTGAAACACACTCGTTTGTATATTTTGTATTACTGTTTCTTTTAATATATTTTGTTTCACAACCTCTCTTTGCTTTATTTCTGGCTCTAACAGATAGATAGATAGATAGATAGATAGATAGATAGATAGTGTTATCGTAGTTTACCAGCGAACGCATGGACCCCCAGCTTCAGGTACTGCTTTTTGTAGAGGAAAGTTTCAGCAGTCAGCTTTGATAGTTAGACCGAACATTCTTGCTGAAACACACTCGTTTGTATATTTTTGTATTACTGTTATTTTAATATATTTGTTTAACACAATTCCTCTCTTTGCGTCTTTATTTCTGGCTCTAACAGATAGATAGATAGATAGATAGATAGATAGATAGATAGATAGATAGATAGATAGTGTTATCGTAGTTTACCAGCGAACGCATGGACACTACCAGCTATAAATAGGAGCAGGTACTGACTTTTGTAGAGGAAAGTTTCCAGCAGTCAGCTTTGACAGTTGGGCCGAACATTCTTGCTGAAACACACTCGTTTGTATATTTTTGTATTACTGTTTCTTTTAATATATTTGTTTAACACAATTCCTCTCTTTGCGTCTTTATTTCTGGCTCTAACAGATAGATAGATAGATAGATAGATAGATAGATAGATAGTGTTATCGTAGTTTACCAGCGAACGCATGGACACTACCAGCTATAAATAGGAGCAGGTACTGCCTTTTTGTGAGAAGTTTCCAACAGTCGGCTTTGACAGTTGGGCCGAACATTCTTGCTGGAACACACTCGTTTGTATTTTTTGTATTACTGTTTCTTTTTTAATATACTTGTTTAATTACAATTTTTCTTTTGTGTCTTTATTTCTGGCTGTAACAGATAGATAGATAGATAGATAGATAGATAGATAGATAGATAGTGTTATCGTAGTTTACCAGCGAACGCATGGACACTACCAGCTATAAATAGGAGCAGGTACTGCCTTTTGTAGAGGAAAGTTTCCAGCAGTCAGCTTTGACAGTTGGGCCGAACATTCTTGCTGAAACACACTCGTTTGTATATTTTTGTATTACTGTTTCTTTTAATATATTTGTTTAACACAATTCCTCTCTTTGCGTCTTTATTTCTGGCTCTAACAGATAGATAGATAGATAGATAGATAGATATGTTATCGTATAGATATGGATAGATAGATAGTTTCCAGATAGTGTTATCGTTTGTATATTTTTGTATTACTGTTTCTTTTTACCATTCCTCTCTTTGCGCGAACGCATGGACACTACCAGCTATAAATAAGCGCAGGTACTGCCTTTTGTAGAGGAAAGTTTCCAGCAGTCAGCTTTGACAGTTGGGTTGAACATTCTTGCTGAAACACACTCGTTTGTATATTTTTGTATTACTGTTTCTTTTAATATATTTGTTTAACACAATTCCTCTCTTTGCGTCTTTATTTCTGGCTCTAACAGATAGATAGATAGATAGATAGATAGATAGATAGATAGATAGATAGATAGATCTGAATATTGAAATAGATAGACATGAACATTTAGATAGATAGATAGATAGATAGATAGATAGATAGTGTTATCGTAATTTACCAGCGAACGCATGGACACTACCAGCTATAAATAGGAGCAGGTACTGCCTTTTGGAGAGGGAAATTTCCAGCAGTCAGCTCTGAAAGTTAGACCGAACATTCTTACTGTAACACTCTCGTTTGTATATGTTTGTATTACTGTTTCTGTTAATATATTAATTTAACTCAATTCCTCTCTTTGTGTCTTTATTTCTGACACTAACAAGGACATAATAGATAGATAGATAGATAGATAGATAGATAGATAGATAGTGTTATCGGAATTTACCAACGCACGCTTGGCTTCTCCCAGCTATAAACAGGAGCAGGTACTGCCTTTTAGAGAGGGAAATTTCCAGCAGTCAGCTCTGAAAGTTAGACCGAACATTCTTGCTGTAACACTCTCGTTTTATATGTTTGTTTTACTGTTTCTTTTAATATTGTTTAACTCAATCCCTATCTTTGTGTCTCTATTTCTGGCCCTAGCAAGGCCACAGCACTAATTTACATTTTAAAAATGTATATTTCATTAATTAATCTGTCCTTCATTACTGTTCTTTTATTCAAGGATTGTTTTGATTTTCATATTAAAAAATAGTTACATTTTGGAATAGTGTCTAATATATTGAGGAAAAGTGTTTGAAATTTGCATTTTACTTGGCCTTCAACAAGTTGGCATCTACTTGTAAAATTTTTCTTAACTATAAAAAGCGTCTCCGCCACCCGAACAATTCATTTCTTCTTTCTTTACAGTCATATTCTTTGAACAAATATATTGAACGTCCTAAACCCCTTCAACGTTTCATAAATAAAGAACATTAATCCCATAGAACAATTATTTTTTTCCTCGAAAAATTTGGAGTTATCGACAAGAGAAAAAAATCGAAATTCTTGTTGGTCTTTCATAATGTTTAGTAATTCAGTGCCGAGTACATCCAGTGGAGCAAGCTTAAATTTTGGCTTATTTACTTCATTTACATAAGTTCGTTTCCAAAATCAATGCGCACTACCGTAAAGCAATGTAATTTTATTTATTTATTTATTTATTTTTTTTTTTGGATAAGTGTAGTTTAACATAAAAATGAAACAAACAAAAAATTACAATGAAAAGAAAAGGCTAGAAAGGAAGTTTTTTTTTCTTTTTTTTTAAATAAAAGAAGAAAGTGAACTTTCAAATATATGAAAATATCGACAAATTAGAAAATAATAAAAAGCAGAAATGAAGTAGTACAGTAAAGTATTTTTTTAATTTTTTTTTAAAATTGAAAA